CTGTCAGGATTTGCTTCCTGCAGAGCAAAGCAAGAAGCTTTTATTTTCCTCTGCCGAAAGGAAATAGGTAGAATTAATATGCTGCTTTTCAGCCAGCTAAACCTGACCCGACTCTTTTTATTGGTAGGGAAATGCAGGATTTGGAGAGAGGACATTTTCATTGAGGTAAATAAGCCATCTCAACCGGTGAACACTATTATACTAATACCAAAGGAAACAAAGGCCAGGAGATGGGGAGCATTAAATAGAAAGGCCAACAGAAAATTAGCAGACAAAAATACAGCATGGGGACAAAGCAGGCTCTGCAACATTGAAAAAAAAAAAAAAAAGAGAGAGAGAGAGAGGGAGAGAGAGAAAGTCCTTTAAGAGAAAATTGCATGCAATTTTTTGGCCTCAATTAGCCTTTTCCACAAAGAGCACTTTTCCATAAAGAGGCCATTAAATAGCAAATGAAATTACATTGGTTTTCAGTTGCCATGGCATTGGTTTTCCCGCTAATGGACTTCTCTGGTCCCGAGTTTAATGTTAGCCTGACTTAATCTTCTTGTCGGTAGGCTGTTTCAACTCTCTGTCCAGCCACGAAGTAATGTATGGGACTTCTCCTCAAAGTGCCTACCACATAATCCAAGAGAGAGAAACTCTATCCTTCAGCTCTCTCCCTGGAGACTGAGGGTAACACTGACCAATGGCAGCATTTCATTAACCATGAAATAACAGTGTCCGTGTATTAGATGGCATTCGTTCCCATCCATGTACTCAGGGCTCCTGGAGCCATTCCGAGATCAGTGAGGGAACGTTTATGGAGTACTCCCAATATACCCAGGCCTGTCCAAGGAGCTGAGGACATAAAGTACAAAAGAAAGGATACACGATGCTCACAGGCATCTAGAGTTTCCAGACCAGCAGACTCAGCTCCAAGCATTGACCTTGCCTCTTTCTCTATTTATCTATTCACAAAATGGGTAAAAAACTTCCCTGATTATCTTATTCACATTTTAAAAAAAAAATACTTTCCAGGTACCACTCTCAAAACACGTGTATATTATCCTAGGAATAAGGATCTGAAATAACATTTCCTTTTTCATGTTGCTTTGCTACAGCTAACCATTGGCTATGCTATCAAGTTTGAATGTGATACTTTGGATACTATTTTTTTAGTATGCATAATCATCTATAAATTTTCAAAAAAATAAGTTTATTCAGTTCATATTCTCCTATAAAGTTTCTTTTTTAAATATTTCCATGTCAGTGAATATTCCTGGACAATATCATTATTAATGTCTGTATAGTGCAGAGGTACTACAGCTCAAAATTCTTCTATTAGCTATTTAAATACTTTTTAAGTTTTTTTTAATGACTTTTCAAGTGCAAAAGAAATCAGACAATTTTTTGAGACAAAATATATTTTAAAATAATAAATGCCAAAATATCTACATTTAAATTGTGGTATATTTAAGTGTATACTTTAACCAATCAAACATTCTAATGCAAAAAATATATAATAAAATACACTATAACTACACTATTTTGAAGACGATTATAAAATGAGGAAAATGTCTCCACTTCTAGTGTATTATATAGATCATGTGACCTAGCACAATTCTGTTAAGTGATAAATGTCTTGCTTTCTCATCAGTTATCTCTTAATCCACAGCCTGATTTTGAGGCTCTACACAATTGAAAGCCCTGAACCAAAGGGTCTCAAATTAGTGTCTCATCCCTGAAGTGAACTTTGGGTGAAAGAAGGTTTTAAGCTTTAGATATTGCCTCCCCTTCCCCCCAGCTGTGCATTTACACTTCATTAAGAGTATATGAAAGCACTTCCTAATAAGTTAGTCATCATATGAGTTATAATCTTTTGTATATTTATTAACGTAATAAACAACAATAAATTGTTATTTTAATTAACATTTTACTGATTACCATGTAGGTAATCATTGTTATCTTTTTAAAAATATATATATTTTATTGATTTTTTTTTACAGAGAGGAAGAGAGAGGAATAGAGAGTTAGAAACATCCATGAGAGAGAATCACCGATCAGCTGCCTCTTGCACACCCCTGATTGGGAATGTGCCCGCAACTAAGGTACATGCCCTTGACCGGAATCGAATCCTGGACCTTTCAGTCTGCAGGCTGACGTTCTATCCACTGAGTCAAACCAGTTTCGGTTCATTGTTATCTTTATTTGCCATTCCCCCCCCCCACCCCTGAAATGTTTTCCTGTTCTTGGTCCTTTTGCTCTTTCTTTCTTTAAAAATTTCTCTTAGTTGTTAACCTCCTTCAAGTTTTAATATTTTTCTTTATATATTGCCCTGGCTGGTATTGCTTAGTGATTAGAGCACCAGCCCACACACTGAAAGGTCTCATGTTCAATTCCCAGTTAAGGGCAGGTAACTGGGTTGCAGGTTCAATCCCCAGCCCCGTTGGGGGGGGAAGAGGGTGGAGGAGGAGGCAACCAATCCATGTGTCTCTCTTACATCAATGTCTCTCTCTGTCTCTCTCTGTCTCTGTCTCTGTCTCTGTCTCTCTCTCTCTCTCTCTCTCTCTCTCTTTCTCTTTCTCTCTCCCTCTCTTTCTCTCTTACTTTCTCTCCCTCCCTCCCTCTCTCTCTTTCTCTCTCTCCCTCTTTCCCTCTCTCTCTTTCTCTCTCTCCCTCCATCCCTCCCCCTGTCATGTAGTCTCAAATATTTTTCCGATTTTATAATGGCCTTTTAACTTTAAGATCTGTTTGCTACACAAACATTGATTATTTTTGCTTCATCTAATTTGTCTTTCTTTTCATTATGGCTTTGGCCTTTGGTGCCAAGGCTCTAAAGAGTAAGTGGACTTCCACTTTTTCTCTTTGTTATCAGCCCAATCCTTCCAATCTCTGGGCAGTGTCTCTCCATGAACAGGGATAAAGGAGGTGGGAAATGACTGTGTCCTCCTGGAAAGGTGTGTGATAACACCTCTGAGGAGTGACAGGGATGGCAGCTTTCTGTCAGCCAATGTTGATGAAGGCATTGATATAAAAGTCAAGAATTAAACAAATATATAATTTATTAACAATCTAAAAATAAAAAAGCTTAAATGTTTAAGTTCATTAATTAAAATCTAAATTGAAACTAAATCCATAACTAACTGTGAAAGGAGGTGATGGCCACATGCAGTCAGGTGGGACAATGGGGGGAGAAAGAGGGACATCTATAATAATCTCAACAATAAAGATTTTTTTTTAAATGAGAAAGAGAGGAAGGGGAGAGAGGAAGAAATATGAATGTGAGAGAGTAACTTTGATTGGTTGCTTCCCACATGCACCCTGACTGGGAATCAAACCCACAGCCTGGGTATGTGCCCTAACCAGGAATTGAATCTGCCACTTTTTGGTGTATTGGACAACACTCCCACTAACTAAGCTGCACACTGGCTAGGGCAATCATTCTATTCTTATGCTCACTTTTGCAGCCAAGCTTCTTGTAACAATTATTAACATATGCCATCTCTAGTTTCTAACCTCTCATTTACACCTTATATCATTCTAATCTGGCTTTAATACCCACCATTTCATTAAAACTATTTTTGTCAGTGATAACTCTGTCACTTAATTTAATGAACATCTAATTAAACCTCTAAGTAGTTATCAGTACGGCTGACCACTCTCTCCTTCTTGAATTGCCTCTTTATTAGTCTCTGTGATGCCAAAATATTCTTGTGCTTTCTCAAGTTTATTTACCAATCCCCTTTACGCTCATTTCTTGGCTTCTCTCCATTCCATAACATTTAAATATAAGAATTTATCAGGGTTTGACCCTAGGTTCTCTTTTTACTCTCTACAGTATTGATCTAAATGATTTCATTGATTTCTTTAGCTTCATATATGGTCTATAGGCCAACAATTTCTACACTGACAACCTTAGTCCAAAGCTCTTTTCTGAAATCCATATTTTTATGTCAAGTGCATTTTTTACTTACTCACTTTGATGTCAAAAAGATCTGAAACTTCTCATGTTCCAAACTAATCTTGGAGGAGTCATTCCTAGATTAGAAATGACTTTGAGAATTAGTATAAATCTACAGCGATCAAGTCGGTGGAGCATTATCCAGAAAATATTATCTACCTATATTTTTATCTATCTATAAAGTTTAAATAATAATGCAGTGTTTATTAAAATATATTTCAGTTTTAAACTTGAGCTATCTCCATTAAAGTTTGTATATCTATTTTGTATACCAAACCATACATATATAGAACCATACATATTTAACCAATTAATTTTTTTAAACATTTTTATTGATTGATTTGAGGGAGTAGGGAAGAAAGAGACAAACATCAATTTGTTGTTCCACCTATCCATGCATTCATTGGTTGATTCTCATATGTTTTCCTGATCAAAGATCAAAACTGCAACAGTGGGGTATTGGAAGGATGCTCTAACCTTTTAATGGCTAGCTATTTCCCATTATAAAAGGTTCAGTTTACATATCATATCTTTAGAAAAGTCTTATACATTTTATAATAGTTCCTGCATGACATTCTCTTTCATAGTGCCTATGTTGCTCTTTCCCAATTGATAATTTGATATTTATGAATTTATTTTCATAGCATTTATCTCACCTACTAGAATATAAGCTCCTTAAAGGCAGAAACTATTTTTTTTTCTTTTTCACTTACTTAGCGCATTACCTGATACATCATAGGAGCTAAATATATACTTGTGTAAGTTAATAAGCCTCCAACAATTAAAAAAATAGACAAACAAAAAACATGATTCCAATGAGATCATCACTGAATGGCCTGCAGCAACATAACATTATCTATCTATCTATCTATCATCTATCTATCTATCTATCTATCTATCTATCTATCTATCTATCTATCTATCTATTTTTAGGGGCCCCTGACTAATGCTTAATGTATGAATATACCTACTACATTGTCTGAGATAAGACAGGATCACCAAGTTTCAAGCCCATGAATGTGAAAATAGATGACAACGTCAGCCACCCAGAAAGGCTTACCTCTCCAAACCAATTGCTTGGCACACAGGATGGAGCTTGGAGTTGTACAAAAGTGCAAAGCTGTGTGTCCACTTAAGGAGTAGCTATTGAGCTTTGCTCCATGGTCACAAAGGATCTTAACACAATCCAAGTTGGCCATTTCACAAGCCACATGAAGAGGGGTTTTCCCATTGGGTCTACAGTTGATTGTAGCATTGTGGTCCAATAGCACCAAAAGACATTCCACGTGACCAAACAAGACAGAGAGATGCAGGCCTGTTGCCCAAGAGGACTTTAACTTATAACTAGGCAACCAATAACCTGAAAAAGAAAGGGAAAAAAAATTTAGCTTCTTGGCCTAGGACTTCCCCATGTTTTATGAGGACTTTTAGAGTATTTTACTTTGGTCACATTTATAAAACTAGGGAAATAATTCAGATGTTGTAAACTAGTAACTAATGGGTTTACAAATGTTTAGTTAAGTGTCATATTTGGATGTACAAAGGGGGACAGGTGCTCTTGAGTACTTACTATTCTACCAGCCTCTATTAGTTTGTTCTTTTACTTACTTTACCTTCTTGGCTCTCCCAGGCACTTGAGTTTGAGACTTTCATTTTTGTAATTGCATTTTATTTTATGGTAAGTTACACAACATTCATCTGTGTGTGTGTGTGTGTGTGTGTGTGTGTGTGTGTGTGTGTATATATATATATATCACTCTAATATGCAAATAGACCAAACAGTAGAACAACTGAACAACCAAACAACTAGTCGTTATAACGTGCGCTGACCATCAGGGGGCGCATGGGAACATGGTGGGCTTTGGCAGCAGGTGGCAGAGCATGGAACATGGCGGGATCAGCTCTGATGAGATGGTGTAGCAGGTGACCAGGGGGCCAGACCAAGGCAGGATAGTTATTAAAAATTATTTGCTCCTGCATGCCATGGTGCTGCTGGGCACTCACACTTGCTGCCAATGCCAGTGTTGGCACCTTCTGCTGGCACTGGAGACACCACTCACACACGCTGCTGGTGCCCAGCACCAGCCATGCTCACTCAGCACCATCAGTGGGTGTGAATGGCAGCTGCTGGCCCCAATCACCCCTGAGGGCTTCTTCACCTTCCCCTGCTCCTGAGGGGCAATCGGGGCAGCAGATATTGCTCACACTCACTGACAGCACTGGCCCCGCTTGTACCTGCTGCTGGTTTCAGCCCCAATCACTCCACACCATCAGCAGGTGCAAGTGGGGCCAGCACTGTCAGTGTGTGGGAGTGGCAGCAGCAGAAGCAGGTTTGCCAGCAGACAGGAGAGTGGGGCCATGGAGGGAGGAACCAGGCAGGGGTGAGGCAGATGGGTCAAGACCCACCCCTGTGCCCACTGCTGCCTCTCGGCCCACAGTTCCTTTCAGGGTGCATGAATTCATGCACTGGGCCTCTAGTATTTAAGAATTATTAAGATCTCCATTATTGTCTTGAATGATGTCAAAGATTTAATTACAAGCTTAAAATTTTTATTCCATCATAGCTCTTTTTCAAATAGTTGTTGCTGTTGTTGTCAATCTAAGATGTGAATGTATTTGATGTCTTTACAAAATTTGTCATACCAAGATTTTATTTGCCTGTTTGTCAGTTTACACAATATCTTTTTCCTTAAAGAAGAATTTAAGGAAACTCACAAATTTTACACTAAATTTTTTAATAACCTAGAAAATAAGTGCAAAAAAATAAGGTAGGAAATAAAAAGAAGTCAAGGGTAAGATAGGTACACAAAATTCACACCATATCTACACACTAGAACTGTACTATTAGTTTGCCTTTGAACTTCCTGGCAGGAAATAAACAGGAAAACCTATGCTATGCAATTAACTATGCCCACAAACTATATACATATTAATAGGTCAGGAGAAGCATAGTTATTCCTAGAAGTGAGATCTTAGGTAAATTTTTCTCATTATTTGGAAATGTTTTTTCTCTCTCCTTTCCCTTCTCTAACCTCTGACTTCTGAACACTGGGCTAGTTCTTTTTATTCAAGGCTCCAACAATTGCCATATTTGACAAGCTATAACAAAAATAACTTTATGAATCTTCTTTCAGTGTTAATACCTAGAGCCATGGCATTAAGCTCACTATGAGTGGGGAATGAAAATAGGTACAAAAAGCCCTGACCGGTTTGGCTCAGTGGATAGAGCATCGGCCTGCAGACCAAAGGGTCCTGGGTTCGATCCTGGTCAAGGGCATGTACCTTGGTTGCAGGCACATCACCAGTAGGGGGCGTACAGGAGGCAACTGATCGATGTTTCTAGCTCTCTATCCTCTCCCTTCCTCTCTGTAAAAAATCAATTAAAAATATATTTAAAAAAGAAAATAGGTACAAAAAGATGAAATGTAGATGGCAAGATGAAGATGCAGAGATAGTTCAATAGCATAGAAGAGAGTCTAGGGCTGAAGCAACAAAATGCATTTTTGAAATTCTTTTGTTGATGAGAGAGAGGGGGAGAGAGAGAGAGAGAGAGAGAGGGAGGGAGAGAGAGAGAGAAAGAGAGAGAGAGAGAGAGAGAGAGAGAGAGAGAGAGAGAGAGAGAGAAGAGAAGAGAAGAGAAGAGAAGAGAAGAGAAGAGAAGAGAAGAGAAGAGAAGAGAAGAGAAGAGAAGAGAAGAGAAGAGAAGAGAAGAGAAGAGAAGAAGAGAAAGGCAAATCCGGAGAGAAGAATATCAATTTGTTCCATTTATTTATGCATATATTGGTTGATTCTTGTGTGTTCCCAGACCAGAAATTGAACCTGCTTATTGGGATGATGCTCTAACCTACTAAGCTACCCAGCCATGGCTCAAAATACAGTTAAACATGGATAAATCAAGTTTGCTTTCAGGTTATAAAAATTCCACTATACACATACTAGGTAAGCAGAATATGATTTAATAGTAATTTATTTGAGGGAAGGCCTGTGGATTTGAGTTAACAGTAATCTCAAAATGAGCCAACAGGGGATGTAGCTGCCAAAAAGTTAATCCAATCATAAGTTTCATAAATGAAAGTGTAGGGCCCAGAACAAGGGAAATAAAGTTTTATTCTTCCTTGATTAGAATGAGATCAGAATAAATCTAGAATATGTGATATTTCTGAGCATCTGGGTGCAGTCAGAGGATGAAGACTAGGGGATCAGGTATTAAATTCTCTCATTTCAGTGAAAAACACTACATATGTGCTCCTCCTGGGTATTTATCCTACAAGTATAATCACTCAAGTGTGAAATGTGGAACTCTTTGTGAAGGGTATGAAGTTCCCAGAAGTTATGAATCCTAGCCGCCTGGCCTGTGGTCAAAAATACACACTACCATGTGCACCACACAACAGCATTGTTCTTTTTTTTTCTTTTTTAAAATATATTTTATTGATTTTTCACAAAGATGAAGAGAGAGCGATAGAGAGTTAGAAACATTGATGAGAGAGAATCATCCATCAGCTGCCTCTTGCACACCCCCTACTGGGGATGTGCCCACAACCAAGGTACATGCCCTTGACCGAATCAAATCCGGGACCTTTCATCTGTAGGCTGACACTCTATCCACTGAGCCAAACCGGTCCCAGCAACAGCATTGTTCTTGATGGCAAAGTATTACAAACAACTTCAGTGCCCATAAGTTATGGTACAACCATACAATCTAATACTACAGAGCCATTACAAAGAAGGGGGTACTTCTGTGTTTATTGATGTAGAAAAATCTCAAGAAACAGTATTGAGAGAAAGAGAGAGAGAAACCTGAACAGTGTGTATAATATGCCATCATATGTGTGTGTATTTATAAACACCTAGAACAAGGTACAGTGGTGGTCTCTAAGAACTGGGGGTCGGGAACTAGGCCATTGATTTCCTTGTTCTTTAATGCCCTCTTTGACCTTTTACATTTAGTGCCCTGTGGATGTATTCTTTTTTAATTTTTTATTAAGGTATTATAAGTCTACATATCTTATCATTGCCCCCCCCCACCCCACTCCCATATATGTATTCTTATTTATAAAAATAAACTATTGTCCTCTATCCAGAGGAGGGAAATAATTTAGTTTAAAGAGGCCATTTATAGGGTCATGCATAATGCTCATTAATTCTGAAGTAATGAAGGAGCCCAAACCAAAGTTTATTTTTCTGCAGCCCACCTTCTAACGCACATGTGTGTGTGTGCGCGCGCGCGTACGTGTGTGCATATTTATTTATACACACACACTTTAATCTCTTTTTCATCCCATCAGAATTTTACTTTCTCTTCTTCCCAAATCTTCCATGATCTAAATCTGCTCTTTAAAAAGAAATACAAATCTAATTCACACTAAGGTATAATTAACTGAGGATGGTTTAAAGTGTGGCCCTTTTAGGATTATCTGAATTTGGGTAGAAATCTATATTCAACAAAGAGAATTCAGCTCTAAGATACTAATTTGAGATTATTGTTGCTGAGAAGGGAGAGCATTTGGTGATATGGACTTTCCCTGGCAGAGACAAACAGTATCAGATAGCTGGAGAATGCCAGTTCTGTGTGTGTGTGTGTGTGTGTGTGTGTGTGTGTGTGTGTGTGTGTGTGTGTGTGTGTAAATAAATATGCACACATAATCTATGTGTATACACCCATTAATACATCTTTATGTAACTGTGTACATTGTATCTGTGTTCCAAAACAGAATTGTTTGCAACCTACTTTTGATAATGAATGAATCACGTTTAACATTAATGCTCTATCAGTCATGTTCATGCTCAAAGTTCCTCAACAAGCAATTTGCAAAGGCAGTCTTTTCTGACTGTCTTGGAAATAAGCTGGTTCCAGATCTGAAACCTTGGGTGTGTTTTGCCTGCCGATTAGCAGCAAAGATTAGACAGCTCTATGCGGCCGCTGATTGGGAATTCATGCCTACTTCTGCAATGGGAAGAAAAATGATCCCCGAAAGGCAGCAGCAGAGAGCTGATTAAGAAAACACCATTTTGATGTAAAATCAAAGACACACAGAATGTTCGCGCTGGAGGGAAGATTATCCAGTCCAAGTCTTTCATTTTCCAGATGAGAAAACTGCCACTTTCTCAGACTGCTGGAGCCATACGTCTCCCGCCTCAGTCCCCGCTAATGGACTCAGGATATCTGCAATGCAGGGTTCCCATCAGTCTTTGTCTTCGTGGAGGCAGAATAGGTTTAGCATCAAGCCTGCTTCACAAATCATGGGAAAGAAGATCCAGATTCATCTATAACATGTCACATCTCTGATTTGGAAATGCCTTTGCTTGTTGATTTCTTTCTGCCTCTTAAATTCCCAATAGCACCTAGAGACTCTATCT